GTTAATGTAGCTTAATGCTAAAGCAAGGCACTGAAAATGCCTAGATGAGTATATTTACTCCATAAACACATAGGTTTGGTCCTGGCCTTTCTATTAGTTATCAGTAAACTTACACATGCAAGAATCCTCGTCCCAGTGAGAATGCCCTCTACACCGATAATGGTAAAAAGGAGCTGGTATCAAGCACACTATAAGTAGCTCATAACACCTCGCTCAGCCACACCCCCACGGGATACAGCAGTGATAAAAATTAAGCAATAAATGAAAGTCTGACTAAGTTATACTATTCAGGACTGGTAAATCTCGTGCCAGCCACCGCGGTCATACGATTAGGCCAAACTAATAGACACTCGGCGTAAAGCGTGTTTTAGAAAATAAATAATAAATAAAATCGAACTCTAACTAAGCTGTAAAAAGCCTCAGATACTGTAAGATATACAACGAAAGTGATTTTAAAAAATCTGACTACACGATAGCTAAGACCCAAACTGGGATTAGATACCCCACTATGCTTAGCCCTAAACATAAAAAATTATAAACAAAATTATTCGCCAGAGTACTACTAGCAATAGCTTAAAACTCAAAGGACTTGGCGGTGCCTTATATCCATCTAGAGGAGCCTGTTCTATAATCGATAAACCCCGATCTACCTCACCAGTCTTTGCTAAATCAGCCTATATACCGCCATCTTCAGCAAACCCTAAAAAGGAATTAAAGTAAGCACAAGTATTAACATAAAAACGTTAGGTCAAGGTGTAGCTTATAGAATGGAAAGAAATGGGCTACATTCCTCGAGTCGAGGAATAAAACTCTTATACGAAAACCTATGTGAAATCAAAAGTTAAAGGTGGATTTAGTAGTAAACTAAGAATAGAGAGCTTAGTTGAATATGGCCATAAGGCACGCACACACCGCCCGTCACCCTCCTCAAATAAAACAATATTAAATATATCTTAGATAATATATATACATAGATATTGACACATGAGAGGAGACAAGTCGTAACAAGGTAAGTGTACTGGAAAGTGCACTTGGATAATACAAAGTGTAGCTTAAATAAAAGCACCTAGTTTACACCTAGAAGATTTCATATAAACTGAGCGCTTTGACAACCGAATATAGCTCAAAATATATTAAATAATATTACTCTAAAACATTAAAATAAAACATTCACATTAAAACAAAAGTATAGGCGATAGAAATTCTATTTGACGCTATAGAGAAAGTACCGCAAGGGAAATAATGAAAGAAAACTCAACAGTAAAAAAAAGCAAAGTTTAGTCCTTGTACCTTTTGCATAATGACTCAACTAGAAAACATTAGCAAAAAGAATTTAAGTTAAATACCCCGAAACTAGACGAGCTACCCATTAGCAGCTTAAAGAGCAAACTCGTCTATGTGGCAAAATAGTGAGAAGACTAATGGGTAGGGGCAATAAACCTACCGAGCCTAGTGATAGCTGGTTGTCCAGAACAGAATTTTAGTTCTAATTTAAGCCTACTATAAAAAAAAACAAATTTTAACGTATGCTTAAATAATAATCTAAAAGGGTTCAGCTTTTTAGATATGGGATACAACCCCTATTAGTGAGTAAACAAAAAATTAAAACACCCTAGTTGGCCTAAAAGCAGCCATCAAACAAGATAGCGTTCAAGCTCAACAATATACTAAAATCAATTTCAACTATTAACAATGATACTCCTAATATAAAACTGGACTATTCTATTTTTAAATAGAAGTAATAATGTTGGCATGAGTAACAAGAAACATTTCTCCTCGCATGCGTGTATATCAGAGCGAATAAATCACTGATAGTTAACAAACATAAATATAACTATCAAACTAAAAATCATAATATTATTGTTAGCCCAACACAGGTATGCAGCTAAGGAAAGATTAAAAAAAGTAAAAGGAACTCGGCAAATACAAACCCCGCCTGTTTACCAAAAACATCACCTCTAGCATAAAAAGTATTAGAGGCATTGCCTGCCCAGTGACTTCAGTTCAACGGCCGCGGTATCCTGACCGTGCAAAGGTAGCATAATCACTTGTTCTCTAAATAGGGACTTGTATGAATGGCTCAACGAGGGTTTTACTGTCTCTTACTTTTAATCAGTGAAATTGACCTTCCCGTGAAGAGGCGTGAATAAAAAAATAAGACGAGAAGACCCTATGGAGCTTTAATTCACCAATTCACAAATTATAACACCACTCTACTAGAAGCAAACTTATTTTAATTGAATTGACAATTTAGGTTGGGGTGACCTCGGAATAAAAACTAACTCCCGAGAAAATTTCAATTAAGACAAACAAGTCAAGATTACTCCATTATATATTGATCCGTTAAAAACGATCAACGAAACAAGTTACCCTAGGGATAACAGCGCAATCCTATTTAAGAGTCCATATCGACAATTAGGGTTTACGACCTCGATGTTGGATCAGGACATCCCAATGGTGCAGCCGCTATTAATGTGTTCGTTTGTTCAACGATTAAAGTCCTACGTGATCTGAGTTCAGACCGGAGAAATCCAGGTCGGTTTCTATCTATTTTAAAGTCTCTCCTAGTACGAAAGGACAAGAGAGACAGGGCCCACTTTAAATAAGTGCCCTACTTGATTAGATGAATTAATCTTAATCTTATAATACATATAAATACCCGAGAACAGGGCTTAGTTAAAGTGGCAGAGACCGGTAATTGCATAAAACTTAAGCTTTTAGAGTCAGAGGTTCAACTCCTCTCTTTAACAATCTCATGTACTATATCAATTTATTAATAATAATTGTTCCTATTTTACTAGCGGTAGCATTCTTAACTCTACTGGAACGAAAAGTGCTAGGCTATATACAACTTCGAAAAGGGCCTAACATTGTAGGTCCCTATGGCCTATTACAACCAATCGCCGATGCAGTCAAACTATTTACTAAAGAACCCATACAACCACTGACATCATCTCTCATTCTATTTATCATTGCACCAACTCTAGCCCTAACCCTAGCCCTAATAATATGAATTCCACTACCTATACCACACCCATTAATTAATATAAACCTAAGCATTCTATTTATATTAGCCCTATCAAGTTTAGCTGTCTACGCCATTTTATGATCAGGATGAGCTTCAAATTCAAAATACGCACTAATTGGGGCCCTACGAGCAGTAGCTCAAACAATTTCTTATGAAGTAACCCTAGCTATCATTGTCTTATCTATCCTACTTATAAATGGCTCCTTTACATTAACAACATTAATCACAACACAAGAATATATCTGATTAATTATCCCCTCATGGCCTCTAGCTATAATATGATTTATCTCAACTCTAGCAGAAACTAATCGAGCTCCCTTTGACTTAACGGAAGGTGAATCAGAATTAGTATCTGGCTTTAATGTAGAATATGCAGGAGGACCATTCGCCCTTTTTTTCCTAGCAGAATATGCAAATATTATTATAATAAACACCCTCACAATTATTCTATTTTTAGGCGCATATAATAATCCAATATTTCCAGAACTATACACCATTAATCTCACCACTAAAACCCTTTTATTTACAACAATTTTTTTATGGGTCCGAGCATCCTATCCCCGATTTCGATATGATCAACTAATACACTTACTATGAAAAAACTTCCTACCCCTCACCCTAGTAATATGCATGTGGCATGTAACTCTGCCAATTATTCTGGCAAGCATTCCACCTCTAACATAAGAAATATGTCTGATAATAGAGTTACTTTGATAGAGTAAATCATAGGGGTTTAAATCCCCTTATTTCTAGAATCACAGGAATTGAACCTGCTCTTAAGAATTCAAAAATCTTCGTGCTACCCACATTACACTATACTCTAAGTAAGGTCAGCTAAATTAAGCTATCGGGCCCATACCCCGAAAATGTTGGTTTATATCCTTCCCGTACTAATTAATCCCATAACCCTGTCACTAGTATTAGCAACAATATTCTCAGGCACTCTAATTGTCATAACAAGCTCACACTGATTTATAATTTGAGTAGGGTTTGAAATAAACATACTAGCCATTATCCCTCTGTTAACAAAAGAACATAATCCACGATCCACAGAAGCAGCAACAAAATATTTTCTTACTCAAGCCACAGCATCCATACTTCTTATAATAGCTGCAATCACTAACCTATTATTCACTGGCCATTGATCTATTATAAAACTAATTAACCCAACAGCATCAATTATAATAACAATAGCTCTTACAATAAAACTAGGTTTATCCCCATTTCACTTTTGAGTGCCGGAAGTTACCCAAGGAGTTCCATTAATATCAGGACTAATCTTATTAACATGACAAAAACTAGCACCCTTATCAGTCCTATATATAATTACACCCCTTATTAATATAAATCTTCTCCTAATTATATCACTAATGTCAATCGCAATTGGTGGTTGAGGCGGATTAAACCAAACCCAACTACGCAAAATCATAGCATATTCATCTATTGCGCACATAGGATGAATACTAGCTATTCTAACTTATAATCCAACCATAACATTACTAAACCTCTATCTATATATTCCAATAACAATCACCACCTTTATACTACTAATATTAAACTCAGCAACCACAACAACTTCCCTATCCCACATATGGAACAAACTGCCACTAATCACCACACTAGTCCTAACTACCATGCTATCTTTAGGAGGACTACCCCCCTTAACCGGATTCTTACCAAAATGAGCAATCATTCAAGAAATAACAAAAAATAATAGTGTTATTATACCTACACTCATAACTCTCTTAGCCCTATTAAATCTATATTTCTACACACGAATTACGTACACTACATCACTAACTATATTTCCAACATCAAACAACATAAAAATAAAATGACAATTCAAAACTCCAAAACAAATAATATACTTACCACTAATAATCACAATCTCTACTCTAACCCTACCATTAGCACCAATTATAATAATCCTGGAATAGGAGTTTAGGTTAACTTAGACCAGAAGCCTTCAAAGCTTCCAGTAAATACAATTTATTTAACTCCTGGACCTTAAGGACTGCAAGACTCTATCTTACATCAAATGAACGCAAATCAATTACTTTAATTAAGCTAAGCCCTTTCTAGATTGATGGGATTCAAACCCATGAAACATTAGTTAACAGCTAAAAACCCTAAACAACTGGCTTCAATCTACTTCTCCCGCCGCAAACAAAAAAAGGCGGGAGAAGCCCCGGCAGGATTGAAGCTGCTACTTTGAACTTGCAATTCAACGTGTATTACACCACAGGACTTGGCAAAAAGAGGGATCTACCTCTGTCTTTAGATTTACAGTCTAATACCTACTCGGCCATTTTACCTATGTTCATTAATCGATGATTATTTTCAACTAACCACAAGGATATCGGCACCTTATATCTACTATTTGGTGCCTGAGCAGGTATAGCTGGCACCGCTTTAAGTCTGTTAATTCGTGCAGAACTGGGCCAACCAGGGGCTCTATTAGGAGACGATCAAATTTACAATGTAATCGTCACTGCCCATGCTTTCGTAATAATTTTCTTTATAGTTATACCTATTATAATTGGAGGCTTCGGGAACTGACTGGTGCCCCTAATAATTGGAGCCCCTGATATAGCTTTCCCTCGAATGAATAATATAAGCTTCTGACTTCTTCCTCCCTCTTTCCTACTGTTACTGGCCTCATCTATAGTTGAAGCAGGAGCTGGTACAGGTTGAACAGTTTACCCACCCTTAGCAGGAAATCTTGCCCACGCGGGAGCTTCAGTCGATCTTGCTATTTTTTCTCTACACCTAGCAGGTGTATCTTCAATCTTAGGAGCAATTAATTTTATTACTACCATTATTAATATAAAACCTCCTGCACTTTCTCAATATCAAACACCATTATTCGTATGATCCGTCCTAATTACAGCAGTACTGTTACTTCTTTCCCTCCCGGTTCTAGCTGCTGGAATTACAATACTATTAACAGACCGAAATTTAAATACTACTTTCTTTGATCCTGCTGGAGGAGGAGACCCAATTCTATATCAACATCTATTTTGATTTTTTGGACATCCTGAAGTGTATATTTTAATTTTACCTGGATTTGGCATTATTTCTCATATTGTCACATATTATTCAGGAAAAAAAGAACCCTTTGGATACATGGGAATAGTATGAGCTATGATATCTATTGGATTTTTGGGCTTCATTGTATGAGCCCATCACATATTTACAGTAGGAATAGATGTAGATACTCGAGCTTATTTTACATCAGCTACTATAATTATTGCCATTCCTACTGGAGTTAAGGTCTTTAGTTGATTAGCTACTCTTCACGGGGGTAATATTAAATGATCTCCTGCCATACTGTGGGCTCTCGGGTTTATCTTCTTATTTACAGTAGGAGGTTTAACAGGAATCGTACTCGCCAATTCTTCCCTTGACATCGTCCTCCATGACACTTACTATGTAGTAGCCCATTTTCATTATGTTCTATCTATAGGAGCAGTCTTTGCTATTATAGGTGGTTTTATTCACTGATTCCCTCTATTCTCAGGTTATACAATAAGCACAACTTGAGCAAAAATTCACTTCCTAATTATATTCGTGGGAGTAAATATAACTTTCTTCCCACAACACTTCTTGGGACTGTCAGGTATACCACGACGCTACTCAGATTATCCAGACGCCTACACTACCTGAAATACTGTGTCTTCTATAGGCTCATTCATCTCACTAACCGCTGTTATCTTAATAATTTTTATAGTGTGAGAAGCATTCGCATCCAAACGAGAAGTGTCAGTAGTAGAACTACCATCTACAAATCTTGAATGACTTCACGGATGTCCTCCCCCTTATCACACCTTTGAGGAACCTACTTATGTAAATCCTAAATAGCATACTAATATTTTTAAGAAAGGAAGGATTCGAACCTCCTGAAATTGGTTTCAAGCCAATACCATAACCATTATGACTTTCTCAATAAACAAGATATTAGTAAAACTTACATAACTTTGTCAAAGTTAAATTACAGGTGAAACCCCTGTATATCTTAATGGCATATCCCTTTCAACTAGGATTCCAAGACGCAACATCTCCCATTATAGAGGAATTACTAAGCTTTCATGATCACGCCTTAATAATCGTTTTCTTAATTAGCTCTCTTGTATTATACATCATCTCATTAATACTTACAACTAACTTAACTCACACTAGTACTATAGATGCCCAAGAAGTAGAGACAATTTGAACTATTTTACCAGCTATTATTTTAATTATAATCGCACTACCCTCACTACGAATTCTTTATATAATAGACGAAATTAACAATCCTTCTTTGACTATTAAAACTCTAGGCCATCAATGATACTGAAGCTATGAATACACAGACTACGAAGACTTAATATTTGATTCCTATATAGTACCCACTTCAGAATTAAGTCCAGGCCAACTTCGCCTATTGGAAGTTGATAATCGAGTGGTATTACCTGCTGAACTAACAATTCGAATACTAATCTCATCAGAAGACGTACTGCACTCTTGGGCTGTCCCCTCTTTAGGATTAAAAACTGACGCAATCCCTGGTCGTTTAAATCAAACAACACTACTTGCTACTCGACCAGGCTTATATTACGGCCAATGCTCTGAAATTTGTGGATCTAATCATAGTTTCATGCCTATTGTACTTGAAATAATTCCTTTAAAACATTTTGAAAAATGATCATCATCAATGCTATAATATCATTAAGAAGCTAAATAGCACTAACCTTTTAAGTTAGAGATTGGAAGTTTTAACCTTCCCTTAATGATATGCCACAATTAGATACATCAACATGATTCACTACAATTATTTCAATAATTATTACATTGTTTATTATGTTCCAATTAAAAATTTCAAAACACTACTACTACAACAACCCTGAACCCCTAATAACTAAAACACAAACATATTTAACCCCCTGAGAAACCAAATGAACGAAAATTTATTTGCCTCTTTTATTACCCCAACGATAATAGGATTACCTATTGTTGTACTCATTATTATATTCCCAAGTATATTATTTCCATCAACAGGTCGACTGGTTAATAACCGTTTAGTCTCAATTCAACAGTGATTAATTCGTATAACAACTAAACAAATAATGACTATCCATAGCAAAAAAGGACAAACCTGAACACTCATACTAATTTCACTTATTATATTTATTGGTTCAACAAACCTGTTGGGCTTATTACCCCACTCTTTTACCCCAACCACTCAACTATCAATAAATCTAGGCATAGCTATTCCTCTTTGAGCAGGTACAGTTATTTTAGGCTTCCGTCATAAAACAAAAGCATCCCTAGCACATTTTTTACCTCAAGGAACACCACTACCTTTAATTCCCATACTGATTATCATCGAGACAATTAGCCTATTTATTCAACCAATGGCATTAGCAGTACGACTTACAGCAAATATCACTGCAGGACACCTACTTATCCATTTAATTGGAGGAGCTACCTTAGCACTAATAAGTATTAGTATAACCACTGCCTTTATTACATTTATTATTCTAATTCTATTAACAGTACTGGAATTTGCCGTTGCTTTAATCCAAGCATATGTTTTCACTCTACTAGTAAGCCTATATTTACATGACAACACCTAATGACCCACCAAACACATGCATACCATATAGTCAATCCAAGTCCTTGACCACTAACAGGAGCTTTATCAGCCCTTCTTTTAACATCAGGATTAGTTATATGATTTCATTTTAACACTTCATTTCTATTATTAGTAGGCTTAACTACTAATATGTTAACAATATATCAATGATGGCGAGATATTGTCCGAGAAAGCACATTCCAAGGACACCATACACCAATCGTACAAAAAGGTCTTCGCTATGGAATAATTCTATTTATCCTATCAGAAGTGTTCTTTTTTTCTGGCTTCTTCTGAGCTTTCTACCACTCAAGCCTAGCCCCTACACCAGAATTAGGAGGCTATTGACCCCCAGCAGGTATTACTCCCCTAAACCCTATAGAAGTCCCACTTCTAAATACATCAGTCCTACTGGCTTCTGGAGTATCAATTACATGAGCTCACCATAGCTTGATAGAGGGAAATCGCATACATATAATACAAGCACTACTAATCACTATTCTCCTAGGCTTATATTTTACACTTCTACAAGCCTCTGAATACTATGAAACACCCTTTACTATCTCTGATGGTGTCTACGGATCAACTTTCTTTATAGCCACAGGATTTCACGGTCTCCATGTCATCATTGGCTCAACATTTCTTATTGTATGCTTCTTACGACAATTAAATTACCACTTTACATCTAGCCACCATTTCGGATTTGAAGCTGCAGCCTGATATTGACATTTCGTAGATGTTGTATGACTATTCTTATATGTCTCTATTTACTGATGAGGATCTTATTCTTCTAGTATTAATTAGTACAACTGACTTCCAATCAGTTAGTCTTGGAAAACTCCAAGGAAGAATAATAAATTTTATTTTAACCCTCATTATTAATACTCTCCTAGCCTCACTACTTGTAACAATCGCATTCTGACTCCCTCAAATAAATGTTTATGCTGAAAAATCAAGTCCATATGAATGCGGATTTGACCCCATAGGATCAGCCCGCCTCCCTTTCTCAATAAAATTTTTTCTAGTGGCAATTACTTTCTTACTGTTTGATCTTGAAATCGCACTACTACTGCCTCTTCCATGAGCCTCTCAAACCGACAAATTAATAACTATATTATTTATATCCCTATTTCTTATCTCCCTATTAATTATCAGTCTAGCATACGAATGAATACAAAAAGGACTAGAATGGTCCGAATATGATAATTAGTTTAATGCAAAATAAATGATTTCGACTCATTAGATTATGATTATTCTCATAATTATCAACATGTCCCTAACCCATATAAATATCCTATTAGCATTTACTACATCTCTCCTAGGTCTGCTTATATATCGATCTCATTTAATATCCTCACTACTATGCCTAGAGGGAATAATACTCTCCTTATTTGTCCTTGCCACTATAACAATTCTTATTACTCACACAACTCTAGCTAGCATAATACCCATTATTCTCCTAGTATTCGCAGCTTGTGAAGCAGCACTTGGATTATCTCTATTAGTAGTTGTATCTAATACATATGGAGTGGATTATGTTCAAAATCTTAATCTTCTCCAATGCTAAAAATTATTATTCCTACTATTATACTAATTCCACTCACATGACTATCAAAAAGCAATATAATATGAATTAACTCAACAATCTATAGTCTAATAATCAGCATAGTATGCCTACCTTTAATAAACCAACCTTGCGATAACAGCTTAAACCTATCCATGTTATTTTTCTCTGACTCACTATCAACTCCCCTATTAATACTGACAACCTGACTTTTACCTCTTATAATTATTGCTAGCCAATATCATATAACCAAAGAGCCCCTCGCACGAAAAAAACTCTACATTACCATGATAATTCTACTTCAAATTTTCTTAATTATAACTTTCTCCGCTACTGAATTAATTATATTTTACATTTTATTTGAAGCCACACTTGTACCGACTTTAATTATCATTACTCGATGAGGGGGCCAAACAGAGCGATTAAATGCTGGAATTTATTTTCTATTTTATACTCTGGCTGGGTCACTTCCCCTTTTAGTTGCTCTAACTTACACTCAAACCACCCTAGGTTCACTAAACATACTACTAACTCAATATTTAACTGAGCGATTAACCCATGTTTGAGGTGATTCACTTTTATGATTAGCATTCATACTAGCATTTATGGTAAAAATACCTCTTTATGGTCTTCACCTATGACTACCAAAAGCCCATGTAGAAGCTCCAATTGCAGGCTCAATAGTCCTAGCGGCTATTCTACTAAAACTAGGGGGATATGGAATATTACGTATTACCATAATACTCAACCCTACTGTTAATTTCATAGCATATCCTTTTATGATACTATCCATATGAGGCATAGTTATAACTAGCTCCATCTGTCTTCGTCAAACAGATCTAAAATCACTAATTGCATATTCATCCGTAAGTCATATAGCACTTGTAATCATAGCTATTTTAATCCAAAGCCCCTGAAGTTTCATAGGAGCTACCGCACTAATAATCGCCCATGGCCTAACATCCTCACTATTATTCTGTTTAGCAAATTCTAATTATGAACGAACTCATAGCCGAACTATAATCTTAGTTCGAGGACTACAAATAATTCTCCCTCTTATAGCAGCTTGATGACTTCTAGCAAGCCTGACAAACCTAGCCTTACCTCCATCTATTAACCTAATTGGAGAACTATTCGTTACAGTATCTATATTCTCATGATCTAACTTCTCCATCATTTTATTGGGAATCAATATTACTATCACTGCCTTGTATACACTCTACATATTAATCATAACCCAACGAGGTAAATATACATACCATATTCACAATATTAAACCCTCCTACACTCGAGAAAATACCCTAATATTACTACATCTTACTCCTCTACTACTATTAATAATTAACCCCAAAATTATCCTAGGAACTATGTACTGTAAATATAGTTTAACAAAAACATTAGATTGTGAGTCTAATAATAGAATCGCAAAATTCTTATTTACCGAAAAAGAATGCAAGAACTGCTAATTCATGCCCCCGCACTTAAAAGTGCGGCTTTTTTAAACTTTTAAAGGATAGTAGTAATCCATTGGTCTTAGGAACCAAAAAATTGGTGCAACTCCAAATAAAAGTTATAAACCTGTTTTCTACCTTTATACTGCTATCTATAATTATTTTAACTCTACCCCTTGTATTTACTCCTAACAAAATTTTCAATAATTACTCCTACCCAGAATATGCTAAAACAATAATTTTTTACTCTTTCATAGCTAGCATACCTCCAACTATTATATTTATTCAATCTACCCAAGAAACAATAATCTCAAATTGATATTGAATAACAATTCAAACTATAAAATTTTCCCTTAGCTTCAAACTAGACTTCTTCTCTATGATATTTGTACCTGTAGCCTTATTTATTACCTGGTCCATCATAGAATTTTCAATATGGTATATACACTTGGACCCGAACATCAATCGATTCTTTAAATACCTATTAATGTTTCTAATTACTATACTAATTTTAGTTACAGCCAACAATATCTTCCAACTATTTATTGGCTGGGAAGGAGTTGGTATTATATCTTTTCTACTAATTGGTTGATGATACGGTCGAGCAGACGCTAATACAGCTGCATTACAAGCAATTTTATATAATCGTATTGGAGACATTGGATTTATTCTATCTATAGCATGATTTATAACAAACTCAAACTCATGAGAACTTCAACAAATTTTTATGTTAAACTCTGATAACACCACCCTTCCACTGATAGGATTACTATTAGCTGCTACAGGAAAATCAGCTCAATTCGGACTACATCCATGACTACCCTCCGCTATAGAAGGACCTACACCAGTTTCAGCCCTATTACACTCCAGCACAATAGTAGTAGCAGGCATTTTTTTACTTATTCGATTTTATCCCCTAATAGAAAACAATAAAATAGCTCAATCCCTAGCTCTATGTCTAGGAGCTATCACTACTTTATTCACAGCTATCTGTGCACTGACCCAAAACGATATTAAAAAAATCGTAGCCTTTTCCACTTCAAGTCAACTAGGATTAATAATAGTTACAATCGGCATTAATCAACCACACCTAGCATTCCTCCACATCTGCACCCACGCATTCTTTAAAGCCATGCTATTCCTATGCTCTGGCTCTATTATTCACAGTTTAAATGACGAACAAGACATCCGAAAAATAGGTGGACTATTCAAATCTCTACCTTTCACAACTACTGCCCTAATTATTGGTAGCCTGGCACTAACAGGAATACCATTTTTGACAGGATTCTACTCAAAAGACCTAATTATCGAAACCGCAAATACATCTTATACAAACGCCTGAGCCCTACTAGTTACTCTCATTGCTACCTCATTAACAGCTGTTTATAGCACCCGTATCATTTTCTTTGCACTACTTGGAAAACCACGATTCTCCACTCTCATTTTAATTAATGAAAACAACCCATTATTAATAAACTCCATTTTACGTCTCCTGGTTGGCAGTATCTTTGCCGGATTTTTTATTTCTAACAATATTAATCCTTCAACTGTACCTCAAATGACTATACCGCTATACCTAAAACTTACAGCTCTAGCTGTGACTTTAATAGGTTTTACGATGGCCCTAGAACTTAACCATATAACCCATAACCTAAAATATAAACATCCTTCAGCCACATTTAAATTTTCAACTATATTAGGATATTTTCCACTCACTATACACCGCTTAAATCCCCTGACAAGCCTAATTATAAGCCAAAAATCAGCCACTATACTACTCGATTTGATCTGATTAGAAAATGTATTACCAAAGTTAATTACCAATATTCAACAAAACTCTTCAATCATAGTATCTAACCAAAAAGGACTAATTAAACTATACTTCCTCTCTTTCCTAATCACTATAATTACAGCTCTTATCGTATTTAATTTCCACGCGTAATTTCTAAAATAATCACTACACCAATAAGCAAAGACCAACCAGTAACAACTACTAATCAATTACCATAACTATATAATGCAGCAACTCCTATAGATTCTTTAGTAAACACTCCAAAATCACCCACATCATAAACCGCTCAATCTCCGATTTCACTAAACTCAAAAATCACTTCCAACTTCTCAACAAACAGAACATATAATACTAACAAAAATTCTATAATCAAACCTACAATAAAGGACCCAAGCACTACTACATTAGAGACTCAAGCCTCAGGATACTGTTCTGTAGCTATAGCCGTTGTATACCCAAAAACTACTAACATTCCCCCCAGATAGATCAAAAATACTATCAGTCCTAAAAACGATCCACCAAAACTCACAACAATACCACAACCAACCCCACCACTTACAATCAACCCAACCCCTCCATAAATAGGAGATGGCTTAGAAGAGAACCCTATAAAGCCAATTACAAAAATAATACTTAAAATAGATACAATATAAACTATCATAGTTCTTACATGGATTAAATCCACGACTAGTGACACGAAAAATCACCGTTGTATTTCAACTACAAGAACAAATAAATGACCAACATTCGAAAATCTCACCCTTTAATAAAAATTATCAATAGCTCCTTCATTGACCTACCCGCCCCATCAAATATTTCATCCTGATGAAATTTTGGGTCTCTTTTAGGAATCTGCCTAGCGCTACAAATTCTAACAGGACTATTTCTAGCTATACACTACACATCAGATACCGCAACAGCCTTCAACTCTGTCACCCATATTTGCCGAGACGTAAACTACGGCTGAGTATTGCGCTACCTACACGCAAATGGAGCCTCAATATTCTTTATTTGCCTGTACCTTCATGTAGGACGAGGACTCTATTATGGCTCCTACATATATACAGAAACCTGAAACGTCGGAGTTATTTTATTATTTGCTGTCATAGCAACAGCCTTCATAGGATACGTACTTCCATGAGGTCAAATATCTTTCTGAGGTGCAACTGTAATTACGAACCTACTCTCCGCAATTCCTTATATCGGCACTAACCTTGTAGAATGAATCTGGGGCGGCTTTTCTGTTGACAAAGCTACTTTAACCCGATTCTTTGCTTTCCACTTTCTACTCCCATTTATCATTTCAGCCATAGTTATAGTACATCTTCTATTTCTACACGAAACAGGATCTAACAATCCAACAGGAATTCCCTCTAACATAGATATAATTCCTTTTCACCCCTACTACACAATTAAAGATATCCTTGGTCTACTATTAATAATTACAGTCTTATTAATGCTAGTATTATTCTCTCCTGATATATTAGGAGACCCCGACAACTACACACCAGCAAATCCACTTAATACCCCACCCCATATTAAACCAGAGTGATATTTCCTATTTGCATACGCTATTCTACGATCAATTCCAAACAAATTAGGGGGAGTTCTGGCTCTAGTCCTCTCAATCCTTATTCTGATTATTATCCCCCTACTCCATACATCTAAACAACGCAGTATAACCTTTCGTCCTCTAAGCCAATGCCTATTTTGACTACTAGTAGCAGACCTATTTACCCTAACATGAATTGGAGGACAACCTGTTGAACACCCATATATCATTATTGGACAACTCGCATCAATCCTTTATTTCTCTATTATCATTATCTTAATACCATTAATCAGCCTTGCAGAAAATCACTTATTAAAATGAAGAGTCTTTGTAGTATATTAATTACACTGGTCTTGTAAACCAGAGAAGGAGAAAGTCAATTCCCCCAAAGACTCAAGAGAAGAGCGTACGCCCTACCATCAACACCCAAAGCTGATATTCTAATTAAACTACCTCTTGCAACGCTTACTTATAATATGTTCAAACTATTCTAAACATTTAATTAACACTACACTTACTAAAACATATAATATCTATAACACCTATAATTTATACTTGAACTTATGCAAAGCTTCCAATCTCAAAAATACGAGTGCATGTATATATGGTTACATATCAAATTATTTACCACATGAACATTAAATAAGTACATCAGGAATATTAATATTACATAATACATATTATGTATAATTGTACATTAAATTATTTACCACATGAATATTAAACAAGTACATCAGGAATATTAATATTACATAATACATACTATGTATAATTGTACATTAAATTATTTACCACATGAATATTAAACAAGTACATTAGAAATATTAATATTACATAATACATACTATGTATAATTGTACATTAAATTATTTACCACATGAATATTAAACAAGTACATTAGAAATATTAATATTACATAATACATACTATGTATAATTGTACATTAAATTATTTACCACATGAATATTAAACAAGTACATTAGAAATATTAATATTACATAATACATACTATGTATAGTTGTACATTAAATTATCTACCACATGAATATTAAGCAAGTACATTAGGAATATTAATATTACATAATACATATATATGCGTGATCGTACATACCCCATTCAGTTCGATAACATCTAGACAGCATGACTATCCATCAACCAATGTAGGTTTCATGATCTACCTACCTCCGTGAAACCAACAACCCGCTCGGCAAGTATTTCTCTTCTTGACCCTGGCCCATAAAAACTAAGAGTTTCATGAGAATGGGTAGTAAACGGCATCTGGTTCTTACTTCAGGCACATAAAATCAAGACCGCCCACTCGTTCCTCTTAAATAAGACATCTCGATGGGATAATTACTAATCAGCCCATGCCGCGGCATAACTGTAATGTCATACCCTTGGTATTTTTTATTTTTAGGGGATGCTTGGATTCAGCATTGGCCGTCAAAGGCCCCGATCAAACCATAAAGTCAAGCTGGACTTTAAATGTACACCCTAAACCCGCATAATGAGGATGCAGGACTATCGTGTTAATGTTCTAAGGACATAAATATATGGGTCGTGATATCATAAGAATGGACTTCGTAAATTTATATTACGGCCTATGGTGCTAATAGATTAATGGTTACAGGACATACAACACAACACAACACAACACTACGCATACGCATACGCATACGCATACGCATACGCATACGCATACGCATACGCATACGCATACGCATACGCATACGCATACGCATACGCATACGCATACGCATACGCATACGCATACGCATACGCATACGCATACGCATACGCATACGCATACGCATACGCATACGCATACGCATACGCATACGCATACGCATACGCATACGCATACGCATACGCATACGCATACGCATACGCATACGCATACGCATACGCATACGCATACGCATACGCATACGCATACGCAAAACCCAATTATAATATACTAATAAATTTTTTACTCCGCAAACCCCCCTTACCCCCCGTTAAATCAACATTATGAGCATTAACATTTCTTGCCAAACCCCAAAAACAAGAATAATACCATAACATGTAACAGATTTAACAGTATATCAAAGCCAAATATTATAATCTCCACCACCCGTAAGGTCGCACCCCCTTACTTTAAAGATTCGCTTTCCTTAGACAGACATCTCCCTAGATCTGTAAATATAACCCCAAGTAAACCTATTACCTATAA